AGGCCAGGAGTTTGAGAACAGCCTGGCCAACATGGCGAAACCCCACCTCTACTAAAAATACAAAAATTAGGTGTGATGGCACATGCCTGTAGTCCCAGCTACTCGGGAGGCTGAGGCAGGAGAATCACTTAAACCTGGGAGGCAGAGGTTGCAGTGAGCCAAGTTTGTACTACTGCACTCTAGCCTGGGCAACAAAGTGAGACTGTCTCAAAAAACAAAAATAAATAAATAAATAAATAAATAAATAATAAAAGGAAACCTTTATAGTAGGTAGTCATTTTGTTTGAAATATTTCTTTTCAAGCAGTATATATTATTAATAGTATAGGAGTCAGCTGTTGTGAATTTTAGTTTGTTAACCAAGCTTTCCTCCTTTTCTTTGCTGAAAAGGGTAAGAAGTGATGTGGAGGAATGATAGAAATAGAAGCCCTCAATCCGAACTCCTGAGTAGGTAAAAGCAGATCATAGAAGCTACATATTTAGAGTGTTCACATATTTAGATGGAAGCCAGGGGAAAAAAGGAAAATATTATGTTTTATAACTCTCATTCTGAAAAAGTCATTCATATTATTCTGAAATTAATTTCTAAAAATGTTTTCTGACACGAAACTTTTGAGAAAATATAGCTGGGTGTGATGGCTCATGACTGTAATCCCAGCACTTTGGGAGGCAGAGGCAGGTGGATCACAAGGTCAGGAGTTTGAGACCAGCCTGGCCAAGATGGTGAAACCCTGTCTCTACTTAAAATACAAAAGTAGCTGGGCAATGTGGTGGACACCTGTAATCCCAGCTACTCAGGAGGCTGAAGCAGGAGAATTGTTTGAATCTGGGAGGCAGAGGCTGCAGTGAGCCCATATCGTGCCATTGCAATCTAGCCTGGGTGACAGAGCAAGATCTCCATCTCAACAAAAAACAAAAAAAGAGAGAAAATATAATGGCTAGATTCTCAACAGTGTTTTAGCTCTTTTTTTAAATTTTTTTTGGAGACAGGATCTCGCCCTGTTGCCCAGGCTGGAGTACAGTGGTGTGATCATGACTCACTGCAGCCTCTGCCTCATGGGCTCAACCGATCCTCCCACCTCAGCCTCCCTAGGAGGTGGGACTACAGGCATGTGCTACCATGCCAGGTTAAATTTTGTATTTGTTTGTAGAGATGAGGTCTCACTGTGTTATCCAGGCTGGTCTCAAACTCCCTGGCTCAAGCGATCCTCCCTCTTCGGCCTCCCTAAATGCTGGGATTACAGATGTGATCCATTGCACCTGACCAACAATATCACAATAAATACAAAATAGTGTATTTAGAAAATATGGTCATTTTCTATAATAATCTCTTTTTTTTTTTTTTGAGA